GATCAATGTACCAATTGGAATCATGTGCAGAGGCAGGCAGTTTCCTCTCCAGGCGGTTCTAGCGGCCAACACACCAGGATCCACAACTCCTCCCATGCTCTTCCAGAGTTCTTCCGGAATTCCGGCCATGTAGCTCTCGACCACATCACCAGCTCTCATCCCATCGGCGGCAAGAATATAAGTGAGCTTCCTGGTCAACTTGCTCCGGACGAGAGCAATGTGAGCGGAGCGACCGGGGTCATGTTCGATGCGCTCCACCTCGTGCGGGCCTGGTGCGGCGCGCGCAAAGTCGACCATACGAATACGGCGCTTGTGACCACCACCACGATGTCTGACCGTGACTTGACCCGTGTTGTTACGACCACCCTTGGCTTGACCTCGCTTGGGGAAAGTCAATCGATGCACGGGACGTCCTTTCCAGAGGTGATCGTTGATCGGCCTTCGCAAATGTCTAAGACCGGGTGTGCGGGGTTTGTACCTGCGGACCTGGATACCGGACTGTTCACGCACGGGCGGAGGAGCAAAGGTGATGTTGGGATCGAAAGCTGAAGTGAGAGTCTCACCAGCGGAAGGAGTTCCGGTTTCGCGGGCGGTGGAGTATGCTCGGGGTGCAATAGCGGAGGACAGGCATCTGAAGGGCAGGCGCAAGCCCGTCAAGGCCATGCGGGGTTGCAGCATGATGAGAAGAAGACTCCGACGTGGAGTTTGAGGACAGACTGAATTATCAATGGATCGCAGTCGGGTGTTCAGGCTAATGCCGCAATGGCTATCTTGATTATAGCGGAAAGTCGAGGTAGAGGATTAGTGACTGGGCATTCTCGTTCAGAGAAAAAATCAGAAGAAATTCGGCACAGAGCAAGTGGAGGATGAAGATCACGTCGAGTGACACCACCGAGACAACACCCCGCTCAAGTGCAAGTGTTGTGAGAACCTGGGGATGATTGCAGCACTTTCTTGTCCACCCGGAACAAAAATGTCGAACATGGTTTGGACGGTGTGGCTTGGCCGCATGGTCACCTGATGTTCTTCCCACCGCCACAGGAAGATGGAGCCACTAAAGATGACTAAGCGGAGTACAGCACCGGCACGTGATGAGACCGCGACACGACAGACAGATAGAGTAGGTTGCCGTAGTGATGGACTAGTGTTTTGGCGGTCGTGGCCGCGCAGCATCACGGTCGAGGTCGCGACGGGCGTCTTGGAGGCCAGCAGGTTCAGGTGTCTTTCCTGCCTTGAATTAACTCAGGCATCAACCATGGAAACTGAGATCGATGGATGACGCTCTCTCCGCTCTTCTCTCGCTCCACCACCATCACTAATAAATACAGCAGGTTATGCACTCTCTCTTCTCCCTGACCGTATCATCGTTACCATTTCTTACCGCACCTTCGCACAGGCCTTTTGCAGAGCAGTTACGTCGGTCATACATCCACTTGACACTTACATACATACATATAACATCGATCTTGAGCCGCCCTTCTTTGCTCCTCCCCTCTTACACCCCCCTTTCTGTTTGCTGTTGTAGACTATCCCGTACCTCTCTTTCCTTCCTCTCCCCCCCCCCCAAAACCTGGTCCTTCATCTCTTCTCCACTCCTACCTTAAACCACTCACTCACTCACTTCTCCCTCCCCTCACCTCCCCTCGTACGTACATAAACATCAACATCAACATAAACATAAATATCGACTACCTGTCCACCCATCTATCCATCGATTCACTTTGCAGACTCTAAGCAAACTCTCTTCACTTTGCATCAACATTACATACGTGGTACAGCTCCAGCACCATCTCAGCTGCAATCGCCCATTGCCAACTGGGTTGTGCTGTTACGGGAGTGGGGCATCTTTTCCCATCTTGGCCGGGCTTTTCCACGCTAAGAGTAGGGCCAAACATAGCCTTTGCCCTGTCACCTCTCGACCACCTTTTCCCTGGACCTACACTTCTCTATCAACATCATCATCTCCTCCAAGGGGGCTCGACACCACCCATTGAAGCCGCCATCTCGCCTGTTTCTCGTGTCATTGTCGATAATCTACACGTCGACATCCATCTTCTCGCGCCCGACCGACCGTACGCCTCGAATTCAGCGCGAAAATTACGTGACCGACTCAACTCGAACCCTCAGACCTTGTCAATAACGTCAACAAGGTCTTATATGCGACTATCTGGAACTTGCATTACCCGGATAACTCTCAAACATCTGGCTTGATAGCTTGCAGAGCCTTGCATTGAGCCTAATATATTGGGGTTGGGCAAATAATCACGCGTGGTACGTACGATTCCCGTCTCCCAGTCTCCAGGTATTTGAGCTCCACCGGGGTAATCTCCTCGGGAATGCTGACTAGACACTAGCTAACCGGGAGCTCGCAGTTGCTATAGGCACCTCATAACTTGTTTTGCTCCTCTTCAGTCTTTCCTCTCACCCTTCTCCTTTCTCACAATATGCCTCCGGTAAGGATCCTCTGACCAAGTGACGCGTCTGTTGTGTCGACTGTTCACCAACCGTGCGGAAACTGCACCCTGGCGTTCTGCCTCGCGTGTACGGAGTTTCTCATGCTAATGTCCTTGCAGGCCAGAAGCCTCCGCACGAGAGGTGCCATGAACGAGAACGATGAGAACGGGCCGTCGACGCGCCTGACCCGGGCCAAGGCTGCTGCCCTGTCGTCCGGTGACGCCCACACCTCTGCCGCCGCCACTAAGAAACCCACCCTACAGACCAAGAAGGCTGCCACCGCCACCACTACCGGAACTACGAGACGACGTGCAGCTCTGGGAGATGTGAGCAATGTTGGCAAGACAGAGAATGGCGAAGTCAAGGAGGCGAAGAAACCGGCTGCGACTAAAGCTCCCTTGGCACCCAAGAACAACCTGCCGACCGGAGGCGTTCAGAAACCCACCAAAACGAACCCGGCACGCACCAACCCTGGAGTCAAGAGTGACACCGCGAAGAAGCAGCCCGCAGAACCGAAACGCCCTGGTAGCGGATCTGGAATTGGTGGAAATCAGCCGAGACGGACCACGACCCGCAACTTACAGCAGAAAGAGGCAGTGCCAGAGGAACCACCATTGAAGAAGGCCAGTGTCGAAAAGAAGGAAAAGAAGCCAGTGACGGAACAGGTTCAGGATGAGAACGCCCAGGCACCTATTGATCCCAAGGTTTTGGAGAAGCCCACCGAAGATTTTGTGGATGATCTGGACGCTGAAGACCTCGATGACCCGTTGATGGCCGCCGAATACGTTGTTGAGATCTTCGACTATCTTGCAGTGCTTGAGGAGGAGACCTTGCCCAATCCTGACTACATCGACCATCAGCCCGACTTGGAATGGAAAATGCGTGGTATCCTTGTCGACTGGCTCATCGAAGTTCACACTCGTTTCCGCCTACTCCCCGAAACCCTGTTCCTTGCTGTGAACATCATCGATCGTTTCTTGTCTGAGGAAGTGGTCGCTCTGGACCGTCTTCAATTGGTTGGTGTCGCTGCTATGTTTATCGCATCCAAGTACGAGGAAGTACTCTCGCCCCACGTCGCGAACTTCAGCCACATCGCCGACGAGACCTTTTCGGACAAGGAGATCTTGGACGCTGAACGTCACATTCTCGCCACGCTGGAATACAACATGAGCTATCCCAACCCGATGAACTTCCTCCGCCGCATTTCCAAAGCAGATAACTACGACATTCAAACCCGTACTCTTGGAAAGTACCTCATGGAAATTAGCCTTTTGGATCACCGATTTATGGAGTACCGCCAGAGCCATGTTGCGGCCGCTGCAATGTACCTGGCTCGCCTTATCCTCGCTCGGGGGCCTTGGGTAAGTTTCGCTATCATCAGCTATCTACTCCGCACACTAACGCATGGTAGGACGCCACCTTGGCTCATTATGCTGGATACACGGAAGAGGAAATCGACCCCGTCTTCCGGTTGATGATCGATTACCTTCATAGACCCGTGTCCCACGATGCGTTCTTCAAGAAATACGCTAGCAAGAAGTTCTTGAAGGGTGAGCACACATTGTTCCAGTTGAGCCCATCCTACGATAACTGACAGTCCTTCTAGCATCCATCCTTACCCGGCAATGGGCGAAAAAGTACCACCAACTTTACATCACCAGTTCTATGTCAGAACCCTACCACTTCATTCAAGAAAAGGAGTAAGAAGAGCGTCTCCTCGTGACGATACTAAACCGGCATCCGACAAAACGACCCACAATAGGAGTTGGTTGATCCATATGATGGTATTTGATTTCTGATGGTATAAGGGCACCTCTTGCATATGTTTACGACGGCATTTTCCTGTTTTCGCTTTGCGGATGTTTGCATTGTTCGCTTCAAGGGTGTCTGGCGCTTTTCTCCTCTGCCTTGTGTTCGAGTTCTTCTCTAGTTCCTTCGGCTTGTTTTCTTGGTCGTGTCCTGGGTTGTACCTGCTGATACCTAACTTAAATATTCTCCTTCTTGACCCTGGGTGCTATGTGCATCGGACACACCAAGGTCGGAGGTTCTACTCCCAGTGTTATTTCAACTCTCTATTTCATTTTTGGTTCTACTTTTGCTTACAGCGACTGCTAAATCTCCTTGTCTTGCATCTTTCTTTTTCCACAGTGCGTGCTAGGTCTCTGCTGTGGAGGTATGTATGCTCAAGGCCTGGACGGATAATTGATCAGTGCGTGTTGATCATGAATTGCACATGGCCTGAATAATGACCGGGTAAGCACCGAGGCTTCTTGAGGTTCCTACGTTTACGGGTAGAAAATCAGAGCAGCTTGCTTAATGGTAATCATGGAATGACTATTCGAGATGAGTTCATTGAAGAGTATACTTGAGTTAGTTGGTTTCCTGTTGGTAGAAAAGGCTCTGGCGCTGAATAAATGTGTAGACTGGGTCTGGCGATGGCAGCGTTTGTAGGACCGAGGTTCCGAGGCAGGGATTCGGCACCCCCTCCAGCCACCACATTCTATTGTTGTTCCTACTTTCCATTCTTCACCAATGTGCAACCACCTCCTGCATAACCAGACCTTCCGTGAGAAATCTGGAACTTCCATTAATTCTGGGTGGCGTCGCAAAAGCAATCGGATAAGCTTTCCTGGCACCTCAATCTCAATCCCAGCAGCAACCGCTGCAGCTACAAATCAGCACGAACTATATGTTTATGTCCCACACCCGCCGGTGGCTCTCACATCCACTCATCATACAACAACTTGAACTATACCAAGTCAACTTAATCTAATCAACTCCAACTCGGAATTTGAATCAAGCAAGATGGACTCCATTCCATCCTCCTCCTCATCCCCATGCCCCTTCTGCACCATCGCCCACACATACCCGCCTCTCCCCCCGACAACGTTCCTCCGCCAACACCACCAAGACCCAAATCCCAAGAATGTCTCCAACCCAGCGATGCTGTCGACCCCCCCACATTCAGATCTCGATACGACAACGAGCACGAGCACGAGTACGGCCCACCTCATCCTGTCGACCCCATCCCTCCTCGCCTTCCTGGACATCATGCCTCTCACGAGGGGCCATCTCCTCCTTGTCACGCGGGAGCACTATGAGAAACTGGGCGATGTCGGGGTAGGCGTTAGTCGCGAGGTTAGTCTAGTCCTTTACCTACTGACTTACCCACCTCCCATCATCAAACCAGAACCACATTGAAACTAGTCTCGCTCTGTTCTAGTGGGCAGTGTACTACTACTAGTACTTCTGGATAAAGCTGACCCCGAGCAAAAGATCGGCCAATGGCTCCCCATCCTCTCGCGGGTAGTGATGCGGACGCTTTTCGGGGCGGACGCAGCAGCAGCGGACTGGCATTGGAATGTGGTGCAGAATAATGGTGCGTTTTACTCTCACTTCTCTTCAGTTTACCGATGGTGGGGGGGGGGGGGGCATCGTAAGCACAGCACAGCAGAGTTAACCCGGACAATGGGGGCTTGTAGGCGTCCGAGCAGGGCAGCAGGTTCCGCATGTGCATTTTCATGTGATTCCGCGACCGGATTTGGGCAGTGCGTCGGGTGCTGGTGCTGCGCGGCCGAGTTTTGTGATGTTTGGGCGCGGGCAGAGGGAGGAGTTGGATGAGGAGGAGGGGGAGGCGTTGGCGCGCGGGCTGAGGGAGGAGTTGGCGAGGGAGATTGTTAAGGTCATGAAGGTGGAGGGGGTAGATTTGGAGGTGGGGTTGGGGGTTGGGGGCAGGGGGAGGCTTTAGGTTTTATTGGTCTAGAGATACAGTACAGTGCTGTGTAAAGAATAGACATGGGCTTGGGGTTTTCATCGCCAGGTTTATATGGTATTTATTTATGCATCCATTCCAGGTTCTTGGTGTGAGTATGATGAGCATGACATGTTGGATTTTTAGATAAATGCATGCTAGAGGCTATTCTGGTATCATGGGGCCGGCGTGGCGCTGCCTGATCTGGGTTCTTTGTTGTCGTACTGCGGGTTTTTGGTGAAGTACTATTCCTTAAGTCAATATACGTGGATCCTATATTGATAATCCGGGGGAGGTGATAAAAGGCAACGTACCTTCTTTCTGAAGGAATTCAATTGATCGGCATAGACGCCCTCTGAGTCGAGTCTGCTGCGTCCCTTGGACACATCCGATACTTGTCCTTCGGGGAGTCTGCGGTAGGTGATGAGTCGACGGGACCCTGAGATGCTGTTAGTGCTGTTGTCCTTGACCTATGGAATGATGTTGGAAGAAGGCAGACGGTTCCACTCACAGTTGTAGAAGGGCTGAACGGACACACTCAGAACCTCCAGGTTCGGGTGCATGGGCGTGTCTAGCTCGAGATCCTCGTCGTTGGCGGTAGGCATCCACATGCACATGCGCCCACCGATAACGAGAGTCCGAGCGGCAAAGTTGAGGATATCGTTCTGCATGGCCTCGAAGCCGTAGGGCTTCTTCGGAGCAATGTAACCGGGTCGACTGTATACACACGATCAGCGATACGAGGCTCTTCTCCCGTGGCGTCACCACCACTCAAGCAAAAGAACCAAAAAAAAAGAAAGAAAAACATACAGATGAGCCGGCACCCCATCGATAATCACCTCCTCGTTCCGGAGCCCCTCCCGCCTCCCCAACACCCTCAGCCCCTCGCGCACCCCGTACGGCGGATCGCAGACGATCCCGTCGAGGAACGGCTGCGCGCGCAGCGGCGTATTCGTCAGATCGGAGGAGAAGACATCCAGGAACTGGCCGACGATCTCATACTGCTGGAAGTTGGCGAGCACGCCCATGGTGCCGCCGCGCTCGATCATCTCCTTGCCGCGGAAGCTGCGGCCGTCGATGTCCGACCCAAAGTTCAGGGCCCCGAAGTGGCCCATCGCCACGAGGAAGCTGCCCGTGCCGACGAAGGGGTCGTAGAACAGCTTGCCCGGCGCCGCGTGGGCCATGTTCGCCGTGATCAGCGTCAGCTCCGCGTCCATGGACGTCGTGCTGATGTACCGCCGCTTCTTGAGGTCGTACTTGTTGATCACGTCGCGGCTGCTGTTGGCCAGCCAGCGGCCGAACCAGATCCGCTTGGGTTCCTGGCCTTCTGGAACGGGGCGTAAGATGGGGGTGCTGCTGCTGCTGCGTCCCTCGGGAGTTGCAGCGGCAGCGTCAGTGGCAGCTACATCCCAGCCGTAGTCCTCCAGAACCCAAAAGTCTTGGTCCGGGTTCTTCATGCGGATGGGACCCTGGAAGCCGAGGAAGGAGAACGACTGGATGATCTCGCGCTTCTTGTCGTTGCTGCGTTTGCCCGCGAAGCTGTCGATCGTGAAGCGGAACGAGTCCGTCTGGAAGTCGGCCCAGCGGGCTTCGGTCGTCCGCCTGCGGACATCCGCGTGCACCTCGTCCAGGTTGGTGCCATATCCCCAGAGCTCGAAGATGTCCTTCGCTAGGATGCTGCGGGCGATGAGCGTGCGCGCCGCGGCTTCATCGGAGACTCTGATGACGCAGAATGGGGACTGGGGATGGATTCATTAGTTCATTTTGGCTGCTTTAAGCTTTTTTTTGCTGATGCGGGGGGGGAAGATAGAGAAAATTATGTTGGTGGTAATCTGTAGGTGATATGGAAGAGGAGTGTAGGACAGGTTCATCAGAATGAAACATACATATTTATCGTAGTAGACGAACTCGAGATCAATGCCGGCCAAGTCGGCCAGCGCCTGGATCTCAGGCTGTCGGAAAGACTCGTGGACCTGGGCGAAGCGGATCAGGTATTCCATCGTAATCGTCGGAGGGCTTGCGCTGGGCCCCGCGCCACAGCTGTCTGGTCGAACTGTTTCAATGACTGCAGTACTGCAACTGCGGAGAAAAATCACAGACAAGAAAGACTTGCAATCTGGTCAATTATCTGATTGGGAGCGTCGATGTGATTGTCTGGTCAGTGAGAGATGCGGAATTGATTTTTTTTTCCCTCATGATCCGCTGGATTTGAGGATCCCGTTTGTCGTCGACACCTTCCAACAGTCCAGCCCTGCTCAACATTGGAGGAATCACAATGCTACTCTACAATTTTGAATGAGACTGGATGTATGTTATGTGTACGAGGTAAAAATCTATGCAAGCACTTGTAATGATATTTTATCATGGTAACGATTGTAACAAACAGGTCTCCTATGAAGCCGGAGCCGGAGCCGGAAACAAGAATAGATACATTCTAAGCCCGCAGAAAGATAATAAAACATGCTTGATGATAATAATAAATGTATGTCTTCGTCCATCAATCTTTACAGCCTGTCCTTCCCTTTTGGTGATATCAAAACCCACAATGCAAAACCAACCCAATATACGCCGTTTCTCGAAACCAGCTGAGAGCCAGAGATGGAATGGCTAGCAACACACAAAACACCGCCGCTATGCGCCGACAACCCGAAACACATGTCGTGACTCGTAACCTTCAACCTGCGAGATTTCCACCTTCTCATCCTCCGGGATCATCTCGTGTTTGAGCTCCCACCCGGCCCGGCGGCAGAGCTCGGAGACCACCACGTCGCAGTCACCCAGCAAATCAATATCGAACTCCGTATGCGTCACGGGCTATCAGATCCGTCAGCCCGGGGGTGATTTTGGACTCAAGGGAGTAGGACTTACAGTGCGAGAGATGTAGATTTGAGGCACGTGACGAGGCAACACGCCGGGTGCCTCTGCGACAGGCGCTACTTTCAAAGACGTTCCGATGACAATGACCAAATCCACCCGTTCGCGGTCGTGGTGAAGCAGGCGACGACCGAATTCATCCGGAAGATCCTCGCCGAAGAACGTGATGTCGGGCTAAATTGACTGTCAGCAAGACGCCGGGCGAAGAGAATTCCAAAAAAAAAAGAAGAGAGCGCGCAAACTCACTTTCATAACACCGGGAGACGGGATTTCGTATTCATCATCCGAGCTGTCGCCGCAGTCGTCCTTGCGATTTCGGTGCACACCAGTGGTGCTGCGCTTGCGTTTCGCTCCCGTCTCCTCTGCGATTCGGTCACGGCACGCGGTACACTGAGGGATGGCACCCTTCTTAATCTCGTCGAAGATCTCGTCACCGGTTACCTGATATTTGCACTTGACACATGTCGCGGTGGCGAACGAGCCGTGACACTGGACGATATTCTCCGCGGCGACACCGGCATTGGCCTCGATGTTGTCGATATTCTGGGTGTAGTTGGTCAACAATTTCCCCTTGTCCTGCAGCAGGCGAATGAACGCGTGCGTCGGCGAGAACTTCTTTTCCGTGGGGAGAATGTCCTTGGCAACCGAGAAGAAGATGCTGGGGTCTTCGCGAAACACATGAATGTCGAACACCTCCTGCGGATCGCTCAGGCCCAGATGCGCGAGCTGTGAATATAACCCGGTATCCTTGGAGCGGAAGTCGGGGATCCCAAGACTAGTGGATATCTACAAGATCCGCATCAGTATATCGCAGACTCTTGCGCGACGAAAACAGGGTGCACCCCAGGGGGAGGCGGGCGAGGGATGACTTACGCCAGCGCCGGTCAGCACGACGATGTTTTTGGACTCCTTCAGCAACCTCACCGCATCATCGATGGTATTATACTGTGGGAGCTTCGGACGTCTCGAGAACTCTCGCGAGATCGCGATCGCGAGGAGAGGGTGGTAGGCCTCGTCAGGGGCACCTTCGAGGAACGCCGGGGGCTGGATGCCGAACGCTGTGCACAGCTTCTTCGCAGTGACCGTCTCCTTTGCGATGGTCTCTTCGACGAACGCAGCCTTGCCGATTTCATGGAGGCGCTTTCGGTACGCGATAGCCTCCTCCAAAGTACAGGCATCGGGGACTATAGATACTCGAGCGCGGCGCAGTCAGCGGGTGGGGCCTTGCCTTGGGCTGCACACAGCGAGAGGGCGCCTGGGAAGGTATTTGTATAGATGGGTTTGACTTTACCTCCATCGCGAAGTTGCTCGTCCCGCAGTACCTCAATGGCGTCCTCGTAGAGAGACTGGGTTTCCCACTCCTCGCCCGAAGCGTCACTGTCGGTCTCGAACTCGGCTTGAGACATCTCGCCCTTGGTGGCAGTGGCGGTGGGGTCCTCGTTCGCCGTGGCTGGCTTGTCGATTACATCCGCGGAAGTCATCTTAACGGCGACGGCGGCGACTGGGGTCTGTAACGACGACAAGCTTTCCCCGCTGGGCGCTGATTCCAGGTCCATCCTGTGACGGAAGACAAGGGGGGGGGGGGGGGGGGGGGGGGGGGCACTTTCCAGCGACCGCTAAAACAACCCTTTCTTTCCCCAACTCACATTGAGCTCAGTTTTGCCACCCCGAAGGTGCTTGGCCGGGACAAAATTGGCTTTGATTATCTCCGGGGGGGAGGAGGGAAACGCGCTCGGGTACTACTTTATCCGGGTCCGTACGATAGTGGAATGGACAATGAACCAAGAGGATTTAGTGAATTCGCTTCAACATGAGGTGCTCATCCAAGGTATTATTAGATTCGTTGGTATTTCGAGCAAGTATAACATGACTTTTGAGGTGGTATCATGACAGGGAAAGGGGGGGTTTCGTAACATGGACATGCAGCGTTTGTTGTATTCAGGAGTCAGCCATTTCGTGGTCACTGTCTGAGTCCACCTCGATCTCCTCGTCCTCCCAACCTTCCTCACCCTCCTGGCCCTCAGCCTCTTCGTCCTCTATCTCCTCGCCCAGTTCCTGGTTCATCTCCTGAACCAGTTCGAGCGCATGCTCCTTGAGCCTCTCATCCTCGTACTGCTGGATCTCATAGAGAGCCAGACCCTGCTTGAGCCATTCGCGACTGGCAACAAGCGATGCAAGGCGCTTGGCCTCTGGGGTATCGGCTTCCTCCTCGTCATCCGCAGGGGCTTGTTGCTTCCCGGCCAGGAGATATAAGCACCATCCGCCTAGATACCAAGCCTCGATACTCTGATCATCTTCCAGGATCAACCGCTCCAAGACCTCCAACGCCTCAAACTCCAGCGCGACCTCCATCAAGAGACGAGAAAGACTGATTCTGGTAGCAAAGTCTGGAATGCTAGGGTCCTCCGGGGGCAGGTCCTTCCAGATCTCGAGACTCCTTCTCAGTGCTGCTTTGGCGTCGTCGGTCCGTAGCTGCGAGATTCGAATGGAAGCCAGGGTTTGGAGGACCTCGGGTCCATTGGGTTCAACGAGGAGAGCCTCCGTGATGAGCGTCTCGCAACGGTTCTCTGCATCTTCCTCCCAGCTACATTACGTCAGTACAAGAAATTCCTCCTCGCAGCCGCCGCGGGATGGGAAGGAGCCGGGAGGGGGGGGGGGGGGGGGAATCAACTTACGAAAGA